TTTGGGGCTGCCGCAGCAGCAGCTGATGTTGTCGCCTTTGTTTTGTTGGGCTAGGTATGTGAGTAAGCTATATATAGGCTGTAAACCTAGCTAGGTGCTCTCTCTCTCTATTTATTTGTTATTATGTGCTGACAATTCAAACAAAAATGAAATTTTCTTATTGCTTGTAGTATAAGGGTGAGAGTTGGGTTTGGTTCGGATAATCGAACACAAAATCAACAAAGTTGAATCACGATAGTTTCGGTAAGAAGAAATCGAAAGCCGAATCACATCCTTTGTTTTTTTTAATTGGTTTATTAGTAGGGTGATGCGAGCTCATTATGATGGACCATGGGTCAAGAGACGATTTAAGAGGTTTAAACTTTAAAGAGAGCTAGTAAACAAAGTCCTACAAAAAGAAAGGAAACAAATTTGATTTCTTCGACCCTTAATTCTATCCCTCCTAGTAACAAGTAGACTTCAGAATCTGAGGTCATATTCTCCATTCTCCAACATGACTCGATGCCCAGAAGAGGAATGTGTCTCTTATCAACTAGCTATCGTGTCTAGTTGTGGCAAGTATCGACTTATATCGGTTGGCTCTTCTCACAGGTTCGGAATTGTTTGATCGATTTCCTCAATTTATCTTTTATTTTGTGTTATTGAAGAAAGAAGAAAGACCATAAATAGTTCGACGTGTGCAACCCTAATTATTTGGTCTAAGTTTGAGTTGATTCTTGGATTTGGATAATATCATAGGTTTTCAATTTTCATCGAAATCAAAATTAAGAGTTTATTAATTTGCACTCATTATTAAGAAGAAAAAAATGGAATTCATAGTCTAATTATATATGCATGGGATACAAAAATTATAATTCACGGTTGCAGGAGTGAATATTAAATGCTGGGTTATTCTAAAGATTATGAGTTACCAATTAGCCTTATCACCGGCAGCAATTTGGGAAATGGAGGTGAATGGAAAGACCTGAACTTAGATTAGCATCCAATACCAGATTTCCGCCATACCCAGTTGTGAAATATATTACTAATACAACTACAAAAAGCATAACCAATACCAATAACTTTCACAAAAAATCACATGTGAACTCGAGTTGATTATCAAAAAAATTCACTCAAAAACTCCAATCTCGATTCTCAGTTTGGAAAATAACAACAGAATCGAGCAGCAATGGAGATGGTTGGAACTTGGAACTCGTAGTCACCATTAAAAACCCTAACTTATTCCCTAGTTATATGGTATGATCAGTTGTTTTTTTTTTTTATGTAGAAGAAAGATGATCGGTTGTTTTAAGTAGCATCACATGAATTTGAATGAGTGGGTTGGGTTTAGCGATCATAATGGGAAGGGCAGGTACCTCAATTCTCGTGCCTCGTCACACACTACTGCGGGGCGTGTAAAACTCGTGCGAGTACGGGGCGTGGGAGGGTCGACCCACTCTTACATGTTATTTGAAAAAATTACACGCAAATTTTACTTTTTATGATAAAACGAAGGGAAAAATACTTTATGAATGAAAAAAAAAAGTGATAATAAAATGGGTAATTGAGTTTGACAAATTGAAATATCGACTCTAACTAGTGGAAGAAAAGTCAAAATAATAGGTTTATGTATAGATACTGTAAGAAATTGAGATAAAATGGGTTTAGAATGGGGCGGGACATATCAGTAAGGGTCGGAAATAGGTACTCATGTTCCGCCCCCGCGCTACTACGGGTCGGGTAATACCCGCGGGACGGGTTGAAACTGCCATCACTAGTAGGGTTGTTGTATCTCGGTAGGTAGGCCGTAGGCTGTAGGGGAGTATGGCGGATACAATAATAGGAATTACCTTGTTTAATTTTGTTTTTGTTTTCAGTAGAAAAATAATATTACCTTGGATTGGATTGGAATATGCGTAAAGCACATATCGCAATCTCAAGTGGTCGCTGGTGGTACCAAAAACCAAACAATACATTCATCGTATATTTTGCGTTTTGCCACTCCCTTTATCATCCAAACTCGAAATAAATATCAACCTTTTTTTATTTCGTACAATTTATGGCCTACTTAAATCTCATAGAAAGTAAACACGATAAGTCTGTAGTTAAATGATACCATCATGTATGATAAAATCGGTTTTTGATATGATATTATAGATCTGGTCGGTTTAATATTTTTTATATTCTAATAAATAAAATTTGGGTAATTGAAAAGAGTAGTGTGGTAAATAATGGCGGATGATACAGTACAACAAAGGAAAGGAGTCCCCCACCCACAGACTGCTGGCTGGCTGGCTTGGTATTGGTGAAAGCCTAGCGAAGCTACAGTACCATGCATATTACCCTTTTTTTAATTTATTTTTATTTCTATTTTCTTATGCGGGAAAAAAAAAATGCAAAGCCTGCCTGTCTTCTTCCCATCCAGGCCCATCATTAAAAAAGCCCAGTAGGCCTACGGGTAGCTATCAGTAGCCTACGAGACTGCTTTGGAAGGGAGCTAATAGAAAGAAGGTAGGGCTAGAGGTACAGAAAGGCGACTTTACTTTTGTGTGTGTTTCTTTTGTGGTATGCAAATGCAAGCATTGAATAGGGTAGGCTACATTTTCCTCCCTCCTAGGCTCCTATCCATTCATTCTCTGTATTTTCTTTTGGCAGCCAGGAAAAATGAAAAGCAAAGAGATGCAGGAGGAAGGGAGTCTAGTGTGAATCGTCTTGGGGTCGTTTGGATGTGGAAATTTGAAAACGTTGGAATTTGTCTGAATTTCCATGTTTTAGAAAACCAAGGAATTGACTTGTGGAAATTGGAAAAAAAAATCATGTTTGGATAGGGTTTAGTTTTGTGGGAATTGATGGTGTGAAATTTGAAAAAATAAGTAAGAAAACGTGGTAATGTCAAATTACTAGGGGGAGTTGTAGTATTCTCAATTACCATGAATGTGGTAATTGAAGTCAATTTCCATGGTCCAATTTCCATACCCTTTTTGCTCTTCCAAACGTGGGTTTTTAACCCAATTACTGCATTATGTGGTAATTGAGTCCAATTACTACATTACATTTCCACGTCCAAACGACCCCTTGGTGTTTTGTATTAGTTGAGGATAGTGTCCCTCTAAATAGTCTATGCAAGAAGGCCTTGTGTGATTTAATCGAGATTCAATGTTTGTCAAAGACTTTATGCGTGTATGAATAAAGCGCGAGATAAGTTAAGATAAAATCTTCAATCATTAATCCGGCTGGTGGGTAGAGGGAATCATATACCTGAGCGAGCCTCTTACCTTGTAATTAGTTAATTTCACCATTAAGTATTTTGTTAGAGTGGTTTAGTTGCTTAACCTGAATCTGAACTAGCTAGATATACGAGGATGGTCGACTAAAAAAAGAAGGTAAAGTTGATAGTTGTGGGTAATCCTTGACTTGCCCGCTCTATAAACTTGATTATGCATAATTATGATTTTAGTTTTCTTTTTTCAAGTTGTTTATGTTGTGTCGCATATTGAGCGTGATTGGATCGTTTTGCGACTATGTACACTTTAATGTATTCTTTATACCACTCTCCTTTCTTCCTGTTGCCAAATAAATGACCGTTATTGGACCGTTCTATGACTATGTACACTCTAACGTGCTAACACGCACATACTGAGAGTAACTGATCGAAGTTTCACTCAATATGTATGGTTTGTAAGAGTGGTATAAGATCCATAATAACATTCTCTCATCAACTCGAGTTATTGACATGATACCAGAGCTGGTTTGGCCAAGTGGTCGTGTGTTTGAATCTCCACGACCTCCAATATTAACAGCTAATTAAAGCACAAGATATAGTGAGTAGGGCTGGGCATGCGGGCGGATCATCCGCGGGTTTGGGTCGACCCACCCGCATTTGACCCGAATTTCGTTAAGTGGGTGGGTCTGTGGGTGGGTGACGGGTTGCGCTAGGAGCCATCCGCCGGGTGGTGGGTGGGTTGTGGGTGAGTGTGCGGGTGACCCGCTCAACCCAACAGCAAAAAGATCAAAGTCGTTGGCGCTAGAGAGAGGAGAGTGGAGACGTTAGATATAAACTCGGACTGCTCCTGGAGTTTGAACCTCAAAGGCAACCTTCCAAATAGAGATCCCCTCTTCTTCCCTTTACTTTTCCCTCTAATTCTTGTGCCTAGATCACCGCTCTTTCCTTTGTGGAATTATTTTCCTTAGTTCTTTGCACCTAATAATCATCTCAATCTGTAGAAAACTCTTTCATAATAGAATTTCTATACAATTTAAGAACTCATTCAACATTTTTCGCCCTATTTCAACTTCTTGTTTCCCTCGATGATTCTCTTCACCTATTATCATGTCAAGTTGACTCCTTTATATTATATACATTGTGATGTGGGTGAACCCACAAACCCACCCGCATCATCCACCATCCGCCCGACCCAACCCGAGACTAAATGTGGGTGGGTGGTGGGTTAAATTTTATCAATCCGTTTAAGCGCGGGTGGGTACATTTTATGGTCAAAATCCACCCGACCCACCCAATGCCCACCCCTAATAGTGAGTCTAACTGATTGAAATGTCGACTCTAACTAGTTGAATAAAATTCGAAACATGAAAAATACAATTAAATATTAAATACTGTAAGAAATTGATGTAAAGTGGGCCAAGAACGTGACGAGACAGATCCACACCCAACCTCATACTACTGTGGATCGAGTAATACCCGTCCAAGATAGAATAATACCACCCGCGCAGCGACGGGACGGTTCAAAATTGTCATCACTACATTCAACGTCCGCACTTGCTTGTTCTTCTTGACTAGATAGACCTAAACCGGCCATTTGTCTTTTGCGGTATCTATGTTCTGCCACAACTGCCGCCTGCCGGCTATTCCACCGCCGAAAGCACTCTTTCAATCGCCGGCCGCCAATTCAAGCTAGCTCACAAACCTCACTATAAATTCCAACCTCAATCATCATTATCCACATCTCTCACACCAGAAAACGAAATCCAAAACAAAAATATTGAGCCAAAAAAAAAAAAAAATGAAGCCGGCGGCAGCTTTCCTTCCGGCACTCATCCTCCTCTCCACCCTCGCCTCCGCCGCATCCCCTCCCCCGCCAGTCCTCGACGCCCGCGGCCACCCCGTCCACTCCGGCACCCTCTACAACATCCTCCCCGCCGCCGCCGCCGCCGCCCACCACGGCGGCGGCCTGACCCTCGACGTCATCGCCAACCACAGCCACGCCGCCTGCAAGCTCGGAGTGTTCCAGGACGGGAACCCCTCGTCCCCTGGCCTCCCCGTCAAAATCTTCCTCGCCGCCGGTGAGGAAGTGCGCGGTCCCTCCTCCGTCCCGACCGCCACGGACGTCAACATTCAGTTCGCGGCCTCGTCGACCTGCGCCCGGTCCACGGTGTGGAAGCTCGGCCGGTTCGACCGGGACGCGAGGAAGTGGTTCGTGGTGGACGGCGGCGAGAGGGCGAGCACTCCCGGCCGCAGGCCGCCGCCGGAGAGTCTGTTCAAGATTGTGAAGGTGGCGGCGGCGGTGGTGGGGGAGGGGAAGAATCATCAGGTTTTGTTCAAGATCGTTTTCTGCCCGTCGGCGGCGGCGTGTAAGGACGTGGGGATTTTTGTGGATGGGAAGACTGGGTACCGCAGGCTGGCGCTTGTTGACCATGGGCCTTTGCTGGTCCAATTTAAGAAGGCCTGATAGGATTATGTGTCATCGTTGTGGGTCTAAAGCCCACTTATGGCTGGATTGAGTTATAGACGGGACTGGACTCTTCCGGCCGGGATTAAGAAGGCTTTTTTTTTTTTACTGGTTTGGAGTGCGCCTTTATTGACTTGTTGCGTTTGGTTAAGAGACTTTCCCTTTTTTCCCCCTTTCATCGCGAGTGTTTGTTTTGGTTATTGCATTAATTAATATTATTAATATGAACTAGCGTGGGCCGGTCATTTGGCCGGAAGAAGGTGAGATATAAAATTTGATAATGTAATGGGGTGTATAGCTTATTGTTGTATAGTTTTTTTTGGAAAACACGTGATAAAAATAGTGAATTTTAGTAGTAAAGAGACACGAATGATGTAACAAATCAAAAATCAGCCTTATGAACCAAAATCAAGTACATGTTACCTTATGAAACAATATTGTTTCTGGTAATATGATGAGGTGGAGTAAGTTTTATAGAAACCGAATTCCAGAAAATCAAATAAAAAATCGCCTATCCCGCCGATTTTCGAGAAATGAGCATCTCACAATCGTAGCTAGCTTTGACTCGGCCCGTTGGCCGATTAATTTGCTTTATAAAACTTTCATCTTGTCATCATTGTGCTTTTTGATTTTTTGCCAAGCCATGATAAAATCTAAAGAAATCAAGAATGTACAACACGATTTGGGATAGGAACCACCGTTCATGTATCCTAAAAAATGATGGTAAATACGGACTCACCTGCCAAACTGGTTTGGATTGAGATGTTTATCGGGTATGAGGGAACCATGTGAAGAAAATACAAGTAACAAATACTATATTCTCACAATCATTTGTATCCTACACAATACATAAATTTTCATAATACACACACATAACACTCTTAGATTAGAACCACAACTTCCACATGAACCCAAATCAGCACTCACATGGTAGATAACAATTGTACTTAGTACACTGTCTGCATTGTTTTTATTTATTTAAAACCCTAAACTTAATTACCTAGCATTTACCATCTCCAAGCAAGTCCATGGCGATCTTACCGTTCCCGCCACGTGGCAGGAACCCGCCGGGCCTGTGCTCGTCGCCCGTCCCGTAGACGATCCTCAGAACCTCCGGCGGCGTGCGCGCGTAAGCCAGGGAGCTGAAGTCCAGCGACAGGACGTTGCTCTCCGTCCTGTTCTCGGCCCCGAGCTCCGGCGGAACCCACAGGCCTTCGTCTTTCAGGCCGCACATCCCGAGGCGGTTGCGCAGCTGCGAGAGCGCGGCCGTGAAATCCGCCACCGTGATGTTGTTGTACGGCTGCACCTGTTCTTGGGATCTCTCGTAGAGGAGTGTTCGGAAGACTGCGTCTTGTCCTGCCTCCGCTCCCAACAGACCGGCCACTAGCTGGGTATACCCACGAAGCTTTATCAACAATTCGAATTATTGGAAGCAAATTAATTTTTGACAGAGGTAACTTCTGCCCCTAAATTATAGGCTATTCACCAGATTCGCTCTCTCATAAAATTTAAGTTTAAGTTTAGTTAGCCATATAGACTATTTATCTCTCCACCTACATAGCACGAGATCGAGCAAATTCGAAACGCACAACTGAACTTATTCTCTCGACTCGATCTGACTGGTTGGTATAGTAACTAGCCACATCCAATACTACAGAAAAACACAACATAAAAATCAACAATTATCCTAGCCGGACCAGAACACAGTTCGTTTCAATAACTCGATCCAATCCGTAGCAAACCCTAATCGAACGAGTATCGAAAATCCATCATCACTACTACTTATAGTACTTACCCTTCGAGACGTGTATTTGGCCAAGTTGGGGATGGTGCCAACGTATCCATTCAGCCCCACGTACGGAATCAAGTAGCACGCCAGCAGAAAGTTGGTCTCGCACAAGTAAGGGTTGAACGGCGGCTCCAATCTCGCACCAAAATATCCCCCCACGGCTTCCTCAAATATCGCCCCGAAATTCCTCGCGCTCAGATCGTACAGCGGCCGCGGGACTCCACCAACCGTTTCGAAGATCGCCCTGCAACCAATGCAGTCAAAAGCGAGTTTCTACGCAGAAACGTTTTGGTGATCTGGAAGCGTAAAATAGTAAGTTTTTAAGTCTTAAAACCAAGTTTTTAACTACATAAGTTATAAAAACTAAGATTTTGTGTAGAAACGTTTTAGTGACCTAAAAACGTAAAATCGTAAGTTTTAAAATGCGATTTTGACCACATTGCTTGCGGACACGTTGCACGGTAAATCACAATCCATAAAATATTGTTAAAGCTAGCAAGTTAAGATATATATGCACAAGCACAAAGATAGACGACCTCAAATGGCCGATTTCTTGGAACCCGAACTCCTCGACGATTCGCCAGACTATTGGGCCGAGTTGGGCCTTCTGGGCCCCCACGGGAGGTGGGCCTCCGAGGGCGTACTCCGGGGCGATTTCGTCCAGCCCGTGACCGAGCGCCGCGTGGAGGAACAGCTCGGCTTCGAGGAATTCCAAGTTGAGAGCGAACTGGATCTGGTCTCTGTCGCTGGCGGCGTTTATTGGTGCACAGTGTGCCGTCGTGTCGCCGTGGACGGAGAAAGGAGGCAGAAGGATGGCGAGGAGGAAAGCTGCGGTTGCTGGTGAAAAAGGAGAAGGAAGACGACGAGCGGCCATTTTTTTGCTTTTGTGGAGAATACTATGTGCCTGCAGCCAATCGGTTTCTGTATACATATATAATAATGCATGCACGAGCTGGCATGCGGCAATTGGCTAGTTATGCATGGTTATATATGTGTACACGTAAGAGATTATATTTGGGAATTAACGAGGAGGCGGGGTTAATTAACTAGAAGAGAAGAAAAGCTAATATTAGTAGTTGAGATTAGTTTTGCATTATGATGTGGTGTTGCAGCTGTATTAAGGCAGGGTCTGCGTCTCGACAATCCTAAATCGTTAAATGCATGTGGAGATGTATACAAAAAGTAGAAATTTGCTCCTTCGCTCTCAAAACTAAAGAGAGAGCAGTTTGGCAAACATTAAATTTTCTCTACCATTTCATGCGTTGTGTTGTTCATTAAGAAATCTCGGACAAGCTCGTGCGTTATAATTAAAACGGTCAAGTTCATAGCTTTTAAATCAAACACTACATATGATAATTTTAAAATCGCGAATCAGGAACAGTTTGAGTGCAAAATGTGATTTACGATATATGAAAGTGAAATTACTTGCACAAAACAAATTAGTGCAAATACTTGCTCCAATTGAACGGGTGCTTCCATAGAAAGTGTATTATTCCAATAATTACACATTTAGAAATTTTTTTGAAAATATTCAATCGGGAAAAACTCCACATATATAATAGATTAATTCAGGGAAAAAAAATTACACCGGTAACAACTCAACAAAAATTGTTGTTTGGTTTCACCAAATTTTTTTGTTGTTGTTTGGTGTGGTAGGTACCCGCGCATGCATGGGACTAGAAAGAGAGGAAAAGAATGAACTTTGCTGGTGGAAATGGACATCATAACTAGGGGTGTGCAACGGTTCGGTTCGGTTCGGTCCGGACCGGACCAAACTCATGAGAACCGCGGTCCATTAGTGAAAGACATGTTAGGACCAAGGACCGGACCATTCTTGCATTTGGTCCATTTGGTCCGGTTCGGTCCGGTCCAAATATGAGCTCGGTCCACCATTTCTTAAGTAATTATAAAATTCATGAGGACCAAGGACCGGAACGCATTTTACTCGGTCTGGTCCGGTCCGGTCTTAACAACGGTTTGGTCCGGTGTGGTCCGGTACGGACCGGACCATTGCACACCCCTAATCATAACCAAAAACATCCCAGGCCCAGCAATTAATTACTAATTTGAGGCTTTAATTTACTTGTAAGCCTAGCAAGAAAATAAGCAAATGCAAGGCCAAGCGGTTAGATTAATTAGCCTTCATATAGTACTAGTAGTTGCCTAGTTGGTTTCATATATGTAGCTTCAAGTATTTTTATTTTATGAAATGATACCTATATTAACAAAGAGAAATTTTACAATGCTATATAGCATTGGTGATATAGGTTTTTTTCTTTATGATACAGCTTGAAATTGTACTTTTAATGTTATGGTACAATTTCATATTGTACCTATACTCTTTTGTACAAATTCTTTATGGTACAACTTGAACTTGTACCTTTATGTGACGGTACAACTTTAAGTTGTACCATAACATAAGGGTGCAACCTAAACTTATACATTTAATGTTATGGTACAACTTCAAGTTATACATTAAATCATCAATATTTTATAGCATAGTAGAAGTTAGGGGTGGCTATACGGTACGGTCCGGTTAAATTGGCCCAAATTGATCCGGTCCAGTCCGGTTTTTTTGAAAATATAAGGACCGAAGATTGGATTGGATACAGTCCGGTCTTGATCCGGTCCGGTCTTGACCCGGTCCGGTCCCAATTCGGTCTTGGTTTTATATTGAGATTGTGGGAATTTGAGTGGCCTAAGGCCTAAAAGGGTGAGGAGTTGGTTAAGTTTTGTACTAAGTGCAAAGGTTTGTGACCGTTTATGCAAATTACCCTTAAGTTTTGGATGTTAAGCTCTCTTATCCGGTCTTTATCCGGTTTTTTACCTCAAATCTAAGCCCAAAGATTGGATTGGATTGTTTACTATCCGGTCCCAGTCCGGGTTATACGGTCCGGTTTCCGGTTTTTCATCCGGTCCCGGTCCAAATAGCCACCCCTAGTAGAAGTGCTCATTAACAAATCAATACTTTATAGCATAGTAGAAGTGCTCATTAACAAATGAGGAATAAGATAGGGTGAAAATTAACACCTCTCTGTTATGCATTCACAATAGCTCCTTTCAATTCTGTCTCACGGATTTCGATTTCATATGAAAATTACACTTTGGTATCTAAACTTATAGATTTTAAGATATGATGCTTAAATTTTTATTTTTTTCATTTAAGTCCTAAAGTATTTATGAAAAAATACATTTTAGCACCAATTTTTTTTTTATGTCTTACATTTTATACTTCAACTTTTAATTTACAAATAGGTCCACTTTTATAAAGTTTCCGTTATGCTTAAAAAACTTGTGGTTTGTTTTAATAAATTTGTGATCTACTTTATAAGGTTTGTGGTATGCTTCTAGGACCTTGTGCTCTGCATTATGAGATTTCTAATATGTTTTTAAGAATATTGTGGTCTGCTTTAATAAACTTGTGTTATAGTTTATGAGGAACCTGATATGTTTTAGGGAAGCTATGGTATGTTTTATGAGGTTTTTGCTTTACTTCAGAGAACTTGTAGTAAGCTTTATGATGTTTCTCGTATGCTTTATGAAATTTGTGGTATGTTTTATGAAGTTTCTGGTATGCTTTTGGAAACTTGTAGTCTGCTTTATATGTTTATATGGTATGCTTCAGGAAAGTTGTTGTCGGCTTTATGAGATTTTTGGTGTGCTCCAAGAACTTGAGGTATGCTTTATATGTTTTTGGTATATGCTTCAATGAACTTGTGTTATGCTTTATGAGGATTTTTGCATGCTTCAGGAGACTTATGATATGCTTTACGAGGTTCATGGTATATTGTAAAAAAATTTGTAGTTTGCTTGGAGTTTTCTGGTATGTTTTATGAAATTTTTTGGTATTGTGTGATTCTCATCTACTTTATATTATTTATGGTGTAATTTATTATATTTCTAATCTGCTTCATAATACTTCGTTTTGGTACGCGTCATGGATTTCGCCTTTTGGAAATGGAGCTATTAACATAGTTAAATAGGAGCAAGACGCGAATATTGAAAATAAACTTAAAATTAAATCGTTAAATTTGATAAATACTTTCGAAGAAACCGATCCGGAACCCCATTTTATGAAAGAGTGGAAGGTGTCAAGATAAGGCTGCTGCTTGATGAAAATATATTGCAAGCTTACCGAAACTGATATGAAAAGAACAGAATGGATCATGTTCAAATATGCACTGCCGCACTCACTGTCACTCACTTGAAACACAACGAGCAACGAAACCAATATATTATACCCCACTGAAGCATCGCTCATTGAGGCATCGTTGCATCTTCATTCTTGAAGCAACTTGCTCACATAATCTTTCACTGTCTAGAATTTTGGTGGAAATTATGATGCCAGTCCTGAAAACGGCTTCATGCAATTTCATATAAATCGACAGTTCTACATTTTCGAAGAGGCAGAGGGATCAAAACAGAAAGCTTCATACCAAGTTCTCTCTATTCGAGCAAAGCAACAGGAAAGCTCGAATACTGCTAACATCTTCTAGTTACCCTATTAGATGGCCTTTAGCCGGGAGTCTGCACGCCAATGAATGCATCTCTTGTGCTGCTTCGGAAAGGATATCGAAATGGTGCAACCTCACATTCCCTGTTCGGTTTATAAATAAGCTGCCAAGAGAGGTATGACATCAATGCCTCCTTGTTTTGGATTCAACTTTAGATTGAGCGATCCCGGAAAGCTTGTTGACCTCATAAAGTAACCCAGCCGAGAACAAGAAACTGCCAGCAGATGGTAGCAAAAGAATCAGCATCAATACTAATGGTGCAATATGATGATTTCTCCCGATGGGAAACAATGACAAAAAAATGTTCCAAGTTTCTGCATAACAATGTACAAGTTGATTCATTAGACCAACAAGTATTGTGCCTGCCATTACTTAATGGGTAATCGACTAGCATAACTACATGCTTAACGAATATGAACATATATACTGTTCCATCAGAAAGAGAATCCCATCAATTTACTGCCAAGTAATACATGTGGAACCAAGGCAAGAAGTAGAAACCTAGAGCACATTTTACTCAAAGGTGACTTGCAGCTTTAATATAATAATAACATGCCCCCCAACGGTTAGGGGTCTTTCTTATAGATCACCACAGCCATATCTTTAGGAAATGACATGCCAGGAATCACACTCATATAAATGGGAATCAAGGGGAGCAATTCAAAACATGTCTACAAAATAGGGTTAAGAAATCGCTTGCAGACGATGTTTTCCCAAAAAAAAAAAAACAATGACACAACGGACAAGAAAAAGTAGAATTGAATGACTAGTAGTGTCAAAAGATTACCAAGTTGTTATGCAAACCCGATGGACAGTTCCAGCAGCAATCAGAGCAACGACTTCAGCCAATACAACTGTTCAGAGAGAAACTGTTACTTACAAATTGTAATGATGAGAGAAATGGCTGTCAAAACTGATCGAAGTTTATAACTGAAGGGGACTCGGTAAGGATAAAAGCAGCATTTGCAGCCAGGCTTAAGGAAGATTCACTATAATGACTACCAGGCATCATGAAGCTACACCATAAGCAATAAACATACTGCTTCGGAAGAAGAAGCCAAAAAAGAGAATTAAAAGCACTCAGTCACTCACCAGCACCCCACCCGGTCTTCATGCCATTTGATTCCTGGAAATTACCAATGAACTGCAAAACAGAATTGCGATGCACAGCATCACATGAAAACTTATTCCAGATGCTGCTTAATCAATTTCAACCAATGTTGAGCAAAGTAAGAGATACTTGATGAAACAGAATGCACCAGCAGAGAAAACTAACATTTACTTGTCAGGATCAGGATCACATCATTCAAGTAGGTTATGGCAGCAGGAAAAGTTCGAGCATGTGAAAAATTGTGGGTGGGGGGATAATTCACAGAGCCTTCAAGCTTAAAACGCGACCAAATTAGTCCAGCTAGAAGTAATAGATAATGGGGGTTTACGGCGTGGGAGAAAATAGAGCATAAAAGGCTGTAATTTCATGACGTTATTCCTTAGGAACACTGATTCTATACTACTATAAGAAATCAACCATCACAAGGTAAGGTGATTGAAACATGTAAATTTCCAAATCCCAAGCTCATCCATACTATCACAAATGGAGGAAAGCAAAAGATAAGCAGTACATTCATCGTTCCACAGCATCATTTCACGCCTTTAACATAAACAAAAATGAGAAGGATGCCCATGAACAAGGTGAAATTAACTCACAGTTAAGAGCACAAGGAAAAGGAGAGAGCTAGTGAATCCTCCCAGAATGGTGAACAACTCAGTAGACGCCAGCTTCCCGCGGTACATCTCTTGAAGTGAAAGAATGACCAAGAACAGAAGAAGCGAGTAAAGCATCGAACTTCCAGCTCCTGCCGCCATGTCTTCCCTTCAAATTCCATCCGAAAAAAAACCCCATAAAAAATGATCTCGAAATATCAAAGCAGATCAATGGCAACACCAACAATCATGGTCTCAGCAGATTCCAACAAATCGCCGAAGGCAATAACTAGGCGGAGAATCAATCACACTCTGCCCGCTCAAGAATCTAATTGATCGAGAGCGAGATCTAAGATCATCGGGTACAAGCACAAAAACTCCCTCGCCATAAATCAACATACAAAACTCGAATTACCCATTTCATTTCCGCCCAACATTTTCTCGGGAAGCAAACATTAAACAATAATCTCGCCGGAAGAACTACGGTGAAAGTCATACCTTAATCCAATCTATCTCCGCCTTGCCTAAATTTCTCGCTTCTCGGCGTCGACTGATTACTTGGACCGACTCGGATCTCTTCCACTCTGGGGAAGGCAGAGGAGAGCTGACTTCAATTTTTCTAACCAAACAGAACGGCATCGTTTATGCAATTTATACGAGGCCATGAGTCCACGACGCACTCATCAAACGGCTTCGTATAATTGGAAAGATCGAAGCTTTACCTTCCGCTGCTTGTTCTTTTCCCTACGACGGCGACGAAATCATTCCCTGCTACCGTTCGTTGCGCTGCCTTTTACTCAATTAGTCAAATTCCCGTCATCACAAGGTCCCTCTTCCCTCCCCAAGAATATCGATCTCCTCAGACGGATCCTTACTCCGAATCCCCATCATGATCGCTCGAAATTGGAAGCCTCAAAGCTCCAGAATGATGTCAAAGTCGAAGAGTTTCTGCCTCGTTTGTGGTCTGACGAGTTTTGCTCAGCATGGAGGAAGTGGGTTCTTCCCCACGACGCGGTTTCAATCGAGGAGAAAGGGGTATCAGATGGGTTTTTTAAAGGAGAAAGATATCAAGGTAAGGGTTTTCAAGGTTGCCGCCGGTGATCTGTCGAATGGTAATGGGGAAGGTTGTGTGTTTGAATTAAGCTATATAAGCTAAGATCATGAAATTGCCTGTTTGAGATGAATGAGCAGAAGAGACGAGAATTGGGTCTGATCTTGAAGATCGGCTCAGAAAGGAGCAGGATTTGTAGAGTTCGTGGATTGTGGGGGGTGATCTGGATGATGGGTGTTTGTATGGTGTTTGTGAACTGCTGAATGAGAGCTCGCTCTTGTTATGGTTGGTATGGAAATGAGTGAAGCAGTAGTGATGCGTTTGCATTCAGAAAGGTGTAATTGCAGGTGGTTTAGGACTTCCTTTGCTTTACATTGGGATGATTCTTGGGCACGCAAAGTTTATGTTCGAATCAGCAGGTTATAACATCGTTGGGCCAGACTACTTGGAAAAGACGTTTCAGAAGTTCATTTGGTGGTGGCAAAAAAAGTAACTGGTTATAGAGAATTGGGAACCTTGGTTGCTGAATTTCTGATACAAAGTACATTTTCTCACAGTTACTCCATATTGTCAACAATGCTGACTTGAACTGTCCACCTCGATATTTCTAACAGGGCCCTTGAACCATTTCCTAGCATCCAAAACCCACCACAGCATCACCAGTCCCATGCACACCGCAAGCGCAACCGGCGCGTAGTTGAAGGTCTTCAATTTTATAGGGTAGCTCGTCGGCAACAGGAAGGCCGAACAAGTGTAGCCGATCCACAGGAAAGCCACCAAGCATATCGGCCTCCTGGCCCTGCCCAAGTAGAACGGTCCCGGCTTGAAGTTTCGCTCTTCCATCACCAGCCTGGCGAATATGGGCACTGCATACCCTCCCACCCAACCAACCGTGCTTATCGAAAGTATGGCGGTGAAGACGACGTCCATCTTCAAGATCGGGAGCCCTAAGATGATGCTGATGGCTGCACACAGCCACACCGCGTTCACCGGGACTTTGGACTTCGGGTGCAGCTTTCTCCATATCGGTGAGAATGGGATGCCGTTGTCTCTTGAGAGTGCATATATCTGAAAATTTTTGCACGGCTCTAAAAATGGTCAATAAGTAGAAATATTGATGACCAAATCGAACATGTAGGATACACATATTAGGGCTGGGAAACGGTGCGGTCTGGTACAGACCAGACCATATATACGGTCTACGGTCCAGACCGAGAGGCTAAAGTATAGACCACAGACCAGACCACAGACTATACGGTCTGGTCCAGACCACGCCTGTGCGGTCTGGTCTGGTCCAGATAGACCACACTCAACGAAAAATGAATAATTTGTTTAGTCAACCACACAAAAAATTGAACCAATAACCAATAAAAATAATTGTTATTTGCCTTAAAACATTAATCCTAACATGCATGAATAATTTTGATACTCTAAATCTTAGTACATAACAAAGATACAAAGTAAAAGCATCCCAGCTCGCACCATAATGTCATAAACATTAACATAATGTCATATGGAGACACGATTATCTCTACTCTGTGGTTAAATGTGGTTGTGAATGAAGGAGGGAAGAGATTCACAAAATTAAGGTTGAGACTTGGGTGTCGTTGTGGGAGTTTGTAGAGTGGTCGAATGGGCTGTTAACACGTATTGACAAGTCAGTTGGGTCTACGGTTTGGTCTGGTAAACCGCGGTCTAGAGTCTAGACCAGACCAGACCAAGAGATCAAATCATAAAATAATACAAACCATGGACCAGACCAGACCATACTTCACGGTCTACGGTCCGGACCAAACTGTGCGGTACGGTTTGGACCACGGTTTTTCTAACGATCTGGTCTATTTTCCCAGCCCTAACACATATATCTAACGGGGTGTAAGATTGACCCGGAAGACCCACTTACCTGTTCCGACCCGTCCCGTCCCTGAGGGTCGAGACGGGTCAGTTTGTCTATAGGGTCAAATTAGGGACGGCGACGGGTCATTTGTTGACCTCGTAAGGATCGGGACGGGTAGGGACAACTTAGGGATGGGTCGCTTTTTTGACCCCGTGACCCTTAGCAACTACAAATATCTCACACCACACTGGACCTCTTTGTAAAGTTATAAAGGTTTAGGTACTGACTTGTAAAAATAAAAAATTTGGGTACCAAAACGTAATTTTACCATCAAAATTTATGAACTTATTTGTAAAAAAAATAAATTATAGGTACTAAATTGTAAGACAAAATTATTTTGGGTACCAAAATGTAATTTATAAGACAGTAGTGTGTTGGTTAGGGTCGACCTACTGACTCGTCCCAACTTTTGAGGATCAGACAGAATCAAGAAGGAGACAATACAAGACGGGTCAATTATACATTTTTTTTACGTTTCAAGGACGAGTCAGACCAAGATCAGGGACGGGCCACGGAACGGGCCAGGCAAATTTTTAGCGCTAGGAAAACACATGGTAGTTTTATTCTTACCACACGGGCAGCACTAGTTGTGACGGCGAGCCCGCAGAAGAAGAACGAGCCCCAAATAATGCAGAGGAAAACCACGGCTCCGGCGGAGTTATGGTACCTCCCGTAGAACGCGTCGTAGATGATCTGCGCCGGGACGAGAGCGCCGCCGGTCTCGTTGTTCTCGTCGTAGAGGTAGTCGAAATCCTTGATGCTGAAAGTGAGGGCCAAGTTGTAGGCCCAGCCGAAGACGGAGATGATGCCGATGCTGGACAGAATGGCGAAAGGCCCAGTCCTGTCGGCCCCTTTGGTCTCCTCGGTTAAATGGGCCGCCGAGTCGTAGCCGTAGAGGCAGTAGTTGCTCAGCAAGACGGACATTATGATGGCGTAAGGCTTGCTCGAGATGCCCGTGGATTCAGGGGACGTTTGGAAGTGGGTGAAGACGAATGAAGCCGGCTGGGTTTGTTGTGCGACTAGTGGCAGCATTATTATCACGACCAAACCTCCAATTACCTGTAATAACCGTACACAAACCCCCATGTAATTAGCACAAAATTGCCTCAAATCTTACATTGTTTCAACTTACTTTGATTTGGTTAGTCTTTATCTTTTATGTTACAATTCAATGTTGTAGTACTATTGTTTCAAATATCTTAAGAGACATGGTCTATTTACATACCTGCCACCACATGGAGATGATGCCAAAGAAAGCAATGACTTCAAGTGCAAAGGTGTTGAGGGTTGCCCAAATGAGAGTGAACCCGATGTACATTGACAAGAATACCCCTCTCGACGCGTAGTAGCCTCCTCCGGTGTTGGTCCCCGTAGCCAGCAGAATGATCATTTGTAGCGATTGAGATGCTGAATATGCCTAACATCAGAAATAAACAGAGGAACCCAAATATGGTTTTATTAGTAATCTCACAAAATTTTGATATTATTATTAGAATGATTAAGGCTCATTTACTAGTTTTCCAAATTACATATCCCTTAACTTTTTTTTTTATGGAACATATCCCTTAACTATTACCTGAGCACCTACTCCAGAAACAAGGCCGATGGTCTCGAGCCAGGCGCAGCACCAGGATGCGAATGGGCCCCATCTCGGCCCAGCCAAGTGAGCGGCCCAGAAGTAGAGTGACCCCGTGGTCTGATTAATTGAAGTGATCATACAATTCAGTCAACGAAACAGAGAAAAGACCAACTAATTAATTAATTAATTGCGAACCAATTAAACAGAGTCAGAGACATACAGGGAAAGAAGAGCAGATTTCAGACATGGCGACGCCGACGAACCAAGTGAAGAAGACGACGACGGGCCAGCCCCATATCAGGCTCGCCGGCCCAGCGTATCTCAGGCTCGGCCCATACAACGGCGTCCCTACGAACACCGCCATGCTCGAAAACGTTATCCCGAGTATCTTCAAGAACGTCTGTATGACAAATAAAATCAATTAAGAAAAAATCTATCATGTACGTAACCTACTGTTGGAAAGAAGTCTAAATCGAGAACGAAATTTACGGGAGAGATGGTGCTCTCCAAAAGAATTTTTACTATCCAACTTTTACTATACAAGCTCTGATACCATGTAAAGAAGTCTAAATCGAGAACGAAGGACACAAAATTTGAACATGCTATGTCTGATCGACAGGACTAATCCACCGGAGAGATCGACGGTGCTCTTCAAAACACACGGAAAGTAGTTAATTATTAATTACCATTTCCCTTCTGAGCTCCTGCTTGTATCCAAGCTCGTTGAGCCGCTTCTCCCCTGAATCCAAGACAGGCGCAGCTTCCTCGAGCTCCATTTCCATGGCGGCCACTTTCCTTGACCCACCAATTCCATTCGCTCCTCCTCCTTCTCTGAAACTCATGTTTGCAGAGTCTTATCTCTTCTGTGTGTGCAGAAAGAGTGCTCTGTTTGTTATTCCAAGGTGTTTGGAACGACAAACCAGTTAGCTAGATCAGGCAGAGTGAGTATGATTAGCAGTACATGTGTATATATAATCCTTCTGACTATTCTCGTGGATTAGTTTAAAGGTGCAACGAAAAGGAAGAAAGAAAATGAACTGTTTTGTCTTTTTGCATTTGAATTTCAACGCCGTCCTAATTAGTAAAATTTGTCAAACAATTGGGCTCAAATACTTCATTGTGATAGCTACGTGTAACCATAGGGAATGTGGAAAGTTTCAACGGTGTGAGTGCCTCAATATGCTAATGGATAAATTTTGTCTCGATTTTCAACTTTAACGAACTTTAATCATTCTGTTTCGATAAAATCATATACTCACATGACTTTCGATAGTCGATTTTTCATCAGATCAACCGATATTTAACAAATACAAAAAAAAATTCCCTGTAATCTTTTAGATGGTTGTAATATTTGAAATACGCGGGAAAAAATTCTAAAAATTTATGCGGACGGTCCGATCACAACAGTTGAGATTCACAATCAGTGAGTCAACAGTCTTTGGCTGATTCGTTAGAAGCTAGCTTGCATGTGTCTGTACGGCTATTGGATCAAAGAGTCAAAAGGAAAGGAAGAGATTCAATATATGGTTAGGTGAGGAGTGTGGTTTAAGCTTTAACGAAGGAGATGCTAATAAACATCGTTTTTTGTGAGGTCATATATATGACTTATTGGCGTTTTGTGTTCTGTCTACATATGGCGAAAGTCCAACCTTATTCCCGGCACGGGAATCGTTGAATGAAAGGTTTGCAATTCATTAATATTATGATCCCAAGGATTGCAATCAGAATAGTATCTAAATTATTGAATTACCAAAGGCAAATTTGGTATGAACAGAAGAATAATTGTTCAACTTTAATGATCAACACACAATGGGTGTTAATGACATGAGACATATGTCAGATCTACTGTTAGAGTGTGGTATAAAATCCAGCATAACCTTCTCCCAACAACTCGAGTTATTGGGAACAGGTGGTTTATGACATGGTATCAGAGCTGGTTTGGCCAAGTGGTGGTGTGTTTGAATCTTCACGACCCCCTATGTTAACCATTGATTAAAGCACAAGGTATGGTGGGCCTGTGCAAACTTCAAGCCCGTGAGTTGGCTTTCGTTTGAAGGGGGCGTGTTAGAGTGTGGTATAAGATCCAACATAACCTTATCCCAACAACTCGAGTTATTGGGACCAACTGGTTTACGACACCTCCACCGCGGATGAGTTGATGGTTAAGGGAATAGTCAATCATGAAGTCTGAGCCATATTCAAGTCTTATTAATAATTTACAGATCTCGACAAAATTATTTGTTTATATTGTGACCCATAGTTGTCTGAAACACATCAAATTTCAGACCATACAAAAATACTATCCCCATATTCTTATTACTTATGGTGCAACAATTAACGATGCTTAGAGCATCGTCATCCCCAATTGTTTCCCAATTGCTAAAGTGACGCAAAGTTTATGTGACAAATTTTCAGAAATTGGCAGTGATGCGCGCGGCAGTACTTGCTAAGTAAGTAAGCAAGATTATTAGTAACTTTTGAATTGAAGATTTAAGGTTGATCTTATTTGCGAAAATCTTGAGGTTTTAAGATTGTTTAATAGGAATTGAAGATCAAAGTAATCCATTGAAACTTTGTTAGACAAGTTCTCACCGAGAGTTTCTTCTCCCTGATCAAATAAAGGTTAAAGGTCACGTTAATCCGCTTTTTTATAATATAGCAAAGGAAGTTGGACTTGGGACACTAGTGTTTTGAAGCAACATATGGATCGCCGTTCCAATAAGTCAATTCGGCCGTCTCTGAGACAGAGAGCGACTTTGTCTGTCATTATTCAAAATGATGGGATGGGAAACATTGACCGCAGCTTAAGCCTTAAAGTTACTGCGACTTGGAAGAAAGTTGATTGATTAACCAATGACCAACATAATATCTAGCTTCTCAGATGGAATTGTTTCGAGATAATGCATACGATAATGTGGTAATTTTTTTAGGAGAGTACTGTCGAATTTTGATAGTCTGAGGAAATTTACAATGTTTTACTGTATTGGTGTTTTGGTTTATAAAAATAAATTGTGACAAATTGAACTTGTAATTTTGACATTATAGTATTGTTGGGGGTATTACCCAGCAAGCTAAGAGATTGGGCTCCTCAAAGAAGGAGTTAGGGGGCAAGGCCCAAAAGGTAAGAACCAATATTCACTAGTGGCCCTCGGGCCCAAGAAAAGAGAAGGGACCTCAAGAGTAAAGCACCAAGAGCCAGGTGGCGGCCAACCGGCTGGTGGACCACGGCCTGGGGGCGCCTGTCAGGTGTCAGGAGTCTGACAGGGCGGTTAGCTGTCTCACAGTGCACCAAAAGCCAGGTGGCGGCCAACTGGCTGGTGGACCACGGCCTGCGGGCGCCTGTCGTGTGTCAGGAGCCTGGCAGAGCTGTGGAATGCCAGTCAGGTGTCAGGAGTCTGACAGGGCAGTTAGCTGTCTGGGGCCGCAGGGCATTAAATGAGGAAGGTGACGTGGCGGAGATCAACCTCGGGTTCGGTGAGTATAAATAGGGGCAGTCGATAGCATTTATGCAGGTTGGCCTCTGACACTAAAACCAGACTTGACACTTCTCTCTCTAAACTTAGTTCTGACTTGGGCGTCGGAGTGCTAACGGGCACTCCCGAGCCCTTTAGGCGCTTGTCCTTGCAGGAACCAGGCGCCTGTACTGAGTTCGAAGGGGCACAGATCGAGGAAGGTGGGACCGGAGGAACTTGGCTCAAACAATTGGCGCGCCAGAAAGGGGGCGAAGCAATTGGAAAACTTGAACGACGGGGAAGATGTTTCGAGGTTGGACAATTCGAGTCATGAGGAAGGCGAGCGGCAACCGAGCCGAGAGCTGAGCATGGAGGCAGAAGGGGAAGCGAGCCCTGGGCGCCTATCGGCGGAGGAAGGGGAGTCTTTGACGAAGATAGAGCTATTCCGAATTATAGCCGACCAGGATCGGGCCATTGCGGCGCTCAGAAGGGAGTTGGATGGGGAGCGAAGTGAGGACGTAATGATGTATAGCCCGGGCGTCAGGAAACGAGAAATGATGGGAGAAGATTTGGAGTCTTTGCAGCACGGGCACCCGTACCAAGCTGACCAAGGACATGACGCACCAAGGCGTTCACGCGCCTGGAAAATGCCTACTGAGCATACCCAGGTGGAGCCAGAAGACTTGTGGGCGCCTAAAAGAATCGCCAAGCGGTTCGGGGTCAGGCAACCATTGGCGCGAAGCATCCTAGTGGAACCGGCGGGAACCACAATTCCCCCGTTACCCAGTTACGACGGGGTGGCGGACCCAGAGGATCATTTGAATAGCTACTTCACGAAGATGCAACTGTACAACAGCTCAGACGCCACGTTATGCAAGGTGTTCCCATCCACGTTTGCGGGCGTAGTGTTAGATTGGTACCATCAAATCGAAGAGGGGCGCATCGAATGCTTTGAGCAGTTTGCGGAGTTATTCTTGTCCAAGTTTGCAAGTAGGAAGCGCCGGACACTAACCATAGGCGCATTGTTCAAGGTGAAGCAGAGGGAGGGGGAGGCGCTTAGAGAATTTTACGACCGATGGATCTCTGTAGCCATGGCAGTCAAAGACGTCCAACCGGCGGTACTGGGGGTTTGCTTGGACGCTTGTACCTCGAGCGAGGAACTCTGCCGAGTCCTCTCCAAGCGGGATGTGGTGTCCACAGAAGACCTGGACCGAAGGGTGCAGAAGGTAATCATGTTGGAGGAGACGTTGGCGGCACGGAGAGCTGAGAAGAGGCGCCTGAGGGGAGATGAATTGGAGGTAAGGCAGGCGCCCCGGGTGCCCTCCGGGAATTATGGTCCGCAAAGAAGGCCTGAGGCACCTCGCCCTGTGCCGAGAAACTCAGCCAACTTTACTGAATACAATGATACAAGAATGTACTACAGTATGTGAAAGATAGGGGCTACCACATACGGTGGCCGGGGCCCATGCGCGGCCAACCAAACGAGAAGAACCTTGATAGGTATTGTGACTTTCATCGCGACAAGGGGCACTACACGGCCGACTGCTACCAGCTTAAAGCCGAACTACAGGCGTTAGCCGACAAAGGCATGCTCAATGACTTTGTTAGGAGGGCGGAAGATAGGACTCACCGGACGTACGTGGCGAGACAGGCGCCAGAAGCCACAAGGAACTCAAAGGCGCATGAAGCCCCAGGGACCCAAGAGGCGCCAGAAAGGCCGAAAACCCCACAGGAGCCGATGATACCACCCCCCCCCCCCCATTTGAAGTAAACCAGGAGGGAAAGCCGAGTCGCATCAGGCTCACGGTCGAATCCATAACCGGCACTGTAGACTTGAGGGAGAAGTTGGAAAGGTCTAGGCGCCTGAGATCCGCTTCAATTGAAGCAAGGGAAGCAGTGCAAATCAACTTCAATCAAGAGCCGGACGAGGCATGCCAGATCCCGTCGGAGGAAGCTTTGGAGATACATGGGGTGATCGCAGGATGTAAAGTGAAAAGGATGTTAGTTGATACTGGCAGCTCAATGGATGTCCTCTTCAAGAGCACGTTTGAGCGCATGCAACTGGCGCCGGAGTTGGTACGCCCCTCGAGTTCGGTGTTAATTGGGTTTTCCGGTGCGCCAGCTCAGGTCATCGGGCGTGTACGCCTACCAGTGACCCTCGGAGATGAGACACATTGTGTGACGCATGCAGTGGAATTTGGAATCGTAGACTGCCCATCGCCCTACAATGTGATACTTGATCTTCCGCTACTAGCACAGTTCAATGGCGTGGCGTCCACTTGTCACCAGACGCTGAAGTTCGTAGCACCCCAGGGCATAGGCATTTCCAGGGGAAGAAATGTTCCACGGTACGCCCGAGAAGAAGACCCAAGGAGCCGCGCTCGCAAACA